CCGCCCGTTTCCAGGGCGAGGGGCAGCATGCCCCACGGGGCGCGGGCCGCCGGGTAGCGTCGGTGCTTGTCGGCTTCCGCCTCAGAGTTCACCGCGCCGTCGCGCCCAGCCGCGGCTGCCAGCGCGCGCTCGTAGCCCTGTATACGCAGTAGCGCACGGTGACGTCGAGGAACAGCCGGGGCCGGTCCGCCCGTTGTACCTCGAGGTCGAGGATGGCCTCCTCCCTCTCCGCCTGGAGCGCGGTTCCGCAGTTGCCGCAGGGCGCCGCCGGCCAGTCCGGCGAGTGCCGCAGGTCTGGCAGCGCCACCGCCAGCGGTACCACGCTGGGACGTGCGTCTGGTGCGCCACCCAGAAGCCGCACTCCGCGTCGATACGGCCCCAGGCGCGCTCCAGGTCCCCGCTGCGCGCCTTGAGGCCGCCTCCGCGGGCGCAGCGCCAAGCGTGGCGCGCCCAGTCGCCGAGCGGCTCGCCGCAGCGCTGCCCAGCGTGCTCCTTCTCCTCCTCTTCGTCCGCGTCCTCGTCGTCGTCGTCGTGCTCTGAGAAGTTCAGCGCGGGGGGGGTCGCTGGTGGGCCACCCGGAACGAATGCAAAAACAGCCCGCCGCAGGCGCCGAATTTTTGGTTTGTTCAGTGAACGTGGTTTGGGTCGCGGGTGGGTCGCGGACTCTCCAACTCCACTTGGAAGGAATTCAAAAACAGCCCGCCGCAGGCGCCGAACATTTTGATTTGTACACGGAACGCGGTTTGGGTCGCAGTCTCTCCACCTGGAACGAATGCACAAGAAACCCGCCGCAGGCGCCGAAGTTTTGGCTTGTTCAGTGAACGAAGTTTGGGTCGCGGGTGGGTCGCGGGCTCTCCAACTCCACCTGGAAGGGATTCAAAAACAGCCCGCCGAAAGCGCCGAACATTTTGATTTGTACACTGAACGCGGTTTGGGTTGCGGGTGGGTCGCAGGGGTTGCAGGTTCTCAACCTGGAACGAATGCACAAGAAGCCCGCCGCAGGCGCCGAAAATTTTGGGTGGGTCGCGGGGTGGGTCGCGGGTGGGTCACGGGTGGGTCGCGGTGGGTCGCGGTTGGGTCGCAGGCGCGGTTTGGGTCGCGGGTGGGTCGCAGGTTCTCTACTTGGAACGACATCGCGGGGCTACACGTCCCCTGTGGTCCTGTGGTGGACCCGGGCGTTGCGGGTAGATTTCGCCCGTTGATTTGGGGCCGGACCCCGAGGTAATGTGGGGGGGCGCTTCCCGATTTGCAGGGTACGTCGTGCCAAATTCGGAATAGTTGTAGGACCCCGTGGAAGGCTGGCTATCCAAGTTTTTTGCGTCTCTCCATTTTTTCGTTCTCTGGGAAACTCTTGAGGCCGAGTCGGCGCGAGTAGCGATCTTTCTGGTGGAGTGGCACTGGTTTGGCCGTTACATTATTATTATTATTATTATTATTATCATCATCATCATCATCATTATTATTATTATTATTATCATACGCACCTCTCCGAGGGAGTAGAGCTCAGAGGCGATTGATGCGCACGTCGTCCGCGATTTTCTGGCCGTTTCGCTCGGGACATCCTCGGAATTCTGAAAATCGGTGGCACCCCTCACGCAGATCGTAACGTCAGGGTCCAAAAACATATGGGAATTTCAACATGTTAACATACAACCTTCAAAAACACATGGTAACAATAATTTTGACCCCGATTCTCAGAGAATGGCGGTTTCGCCTGAGACATCCTCCCAAAATCGAGCCCCAGACCCCTCCTCGGAGCCTCCTGGGGGCCTCCTGGAACCTCCTGGGGCCTCCTGGGGCTTTCTGGACCTTCTGGTACCCCAGACCCCGCCTCGGAGCCTCCTGGAGTTCTCCTGGGCCTGCTGAGGCCGCCTGGGGCCTACTGGGGCCTCCTGGGGCTTCAGAACTACATGCACACACAGAGACACAAATCACGCCCAACACGTCACACGCTAGACAAACATAACATACACACACAACACCGACAACACACAAAAAACACGCACCACACAAAGCACACATCACACACACACAACACTCACAATCCTGGGGCCTCCTGGAGCCTCTTCTGGTATCCAAGTCTGGCCTCCTGAGGCTTCCTGGGGGGCCCTGGTACACACATCGCAAGGTGTGGCAACCCTACTTGCGCTCGAGTGCGACTTCGCTGTTGCATGTCACTCCTGCTTCAAACGCCCCTTCAGCTTGTTGTATGAGGTTGGGCACACACGTGCCACTTGTTATTATTATCAGTATTAGTATTAACATTATTATCATTATCATTTTCATTTTCATTATTATTTTTATTATTATTATTATTGTTATTATTATTATTATTATAAATGTTTAACTAGTTTTATTATTATTATTATTTAACACAACAAACAACAATCAACAATCAACACTAAACAAACAACAAACAACAAACAAACAACAACACCAGCAACAACAACAACGACAACAGCATCAGCAGCATCAGCAGCAACAACAACAACAATAACAATAATCCACATCGCGGAATTCCATTTCAGCCACGCACCCAGGGACAGTGAATGACCGTTCGGTTCAGCCCCCTCATTCTGATGTCAGTTGTTTACTAGAAGAGTTGTTGTTGTCATGGTGCTCTGGCTGAAACGTGGGCCACGGTTCAGGGTCGATGGTTTGCTCCCTTCCTTCAGAGCGGCGCTCTCGCCCCAGCGCGGACCACAAGTCTAGATCCTTTTTCTGCATCGTCACAGCAGTGCTCCTGTCCACTCCTTCTGATCCTGCTCCTCCTCCTCCTCCTGAGTTTCCTGCTTCCAGTCCGATCCTCCTCGTCCTTTTACCCTCCTCTTCCACCGCGCTCTCCATTGTACGACAGAACGCGCTGCTCTAAACCAATTTGTGGTCCTATTGGAAAGGCTTTACGGGCGGTGCCGCCGTCGCTGAAGTGGGAAGACGACGACAACGACGACGACGACGACGACGACGACGGCGGCGTCGGCGGCGTCGGCGGCGACGACGACGCTGACGTGGGGAGAGTCCTCAGGGATGCTTCGTGGGGACTCGTCGGAGCGCGTTCGTTGGCCTCTTGGGGTCAGTTTAGGGGCCTCTTGGGAGCATCTTGGGGACATCTTGGGAGCTGCTTGGGGGTCTCTTCGGGCTTCCTGGGGGCCCCCTGTGGCCTTTTGGCGGCCTCTTGGGGCATCCTGGGAGCTTGTCGCCGAGGGCTCGAAATGTTCGTTCGGGCTCCCGTGTTGGGGGCCTCTGGGGCCGTGTTGGGGGCCGTGTTGGGGGCCTCTGGGGCCGCCTGGGAGGCCTCTAGGGCCGTCTTGGGGCCCTCTGAAATTTGTTACGGGCCGTCTTGGAAACCTCTTGGGGCCTCTTGTGCCGATGTTGGTGATATCTTGGGCCGTCATGGGGCGTCAGGAAACCGAAGAGGCGAGAACGCCAGTATTTCTCCAATACCTAAGGGCAATCATGGACGTTTGCCTTTTGGGGCGCTCTTGGTGTGCTCTTGAAGGCTTCTTCAAGCGTCTTGACAGCCGCTTGGCTTGGAGGGGGCGATATGGGGCGTCTTCGACCGATCGTTCGGCCATTCGGAGCCCTTTTGGACCGTCTTGGGAGCCTCGTGGGTTGTCTTGAGGCTTTTCTGTGCCCCAGGAGTGGGGGAGGATGGTAGGATGGTATTATGTCCCGGGGCCCCCTCATCCACCCCACCCCCAACCACCCCCTCGGGACCCTTCCCCTGGGGGAAAGGATCAATGGGACGGGAAGTGCGGTTTGGTTTCGCTTTGGCTTGCGCGCTTCAGGTTTCGGTTCGGTTTCGTTATGGCTGGCGCGCTGGAGCAGGAGGCCCAGTGATTGCGACGAGGACGACGACGACGACATCGTCTCCCACACGCCGAAGGGTGAGCAGTTCTGTCAACGCAGAAAAATGGAAGACAAAACATCGCGTTGCTTGGCACTGTGTGATGTTGCTTGGTGGGGTAGCTTCTCGTCGTTTGGCATGGCTTGGCATTGTCCAACATTGCTTGGCACTGGTGTTACATTGCTTGGCGTTGCGTGGCGTAGCTTGACGTTGCTTCGAATTTGTCTGCATTGCGTGGCATTGCTTCGCGTGGCTTGGCGTTGCTGTGCATTGCTTGGCGTTGCTTGCTATTGCTTCGCATTGCTTGACACTGCACGGGCAACCCCAGTCAACCTCGCGGAATGCCCAGTCGGAAGGGCCCAGCATTTGTAGTCCCTAGTGTTTTTCCATTCGCAAATAAGAACCCCGCAGGCAAAGCCGAAAGGGGATAGAAGAACGCCGATTGCACAGCAAGGTGTCAAATCTTGCACCTGCCGTTCGGAGAGCAAGGTCCTGTTGGACCCCCCAGACGACGGCGCCCAAAGGACACATCACAATGGAAAGTGACGTCTGAAGGGGTAAGATGTCGGATGTGGCGCGAGGGCACCTAGCTTCCTCCTTCTTCTCCCTTCCCTGCCAGTCCGCAAACCAATCCTCTCGTTCCCTCACCTCGCCTCCCTCACCTCCGCCGGTTCCCCCCCCTGGGGAGACCGCTGTGGGCCGCGGCGCCCCCAGTGCATCTTTCGGGGTAGGGCACAGCGGGGCGGCCCCAAGGATCGGGGCTTTCTGTTTTGGGCGCTCTTGCTGCTTTCTGGGTGGCCAGGGCCGCCGCAGACCGTTGGGGATCCCCTGGCCCCCCCGGGGGCTCGAAGACCCGCTATTGTGCACCGTGAGCAGCTGGAGACACTTGCGCATGACTGGCATGGACTGCAAGTGCCTGGTTCGGGGCCCAGGACGGGTCCATTTGGGCGTGAGTTTTGCGGCTCCGCTCTGGTCGTGGAGATGAGTGAGCTTGCAAGAAGGCCGCCGGCTCATCCGCGTGCTGTTTCTGCGCCCAGGTTTCAGGCCATCACAGCACCCCAGACACATTCCAATTTGGCCCCCACAAGGTGGGATGGCGGACTTTGCCTCGCGTGGCGTGGCATGCGGGAAGTAATTACTGGATGCAAAGCGCTCAGCAAACGGGCTTTTTTCTTATATATTTGCACTTTTGAGGCTGCGACTCCTTGCTCGGATCCTTCCTCTCCCTCCTCCATCCCTAATTCTCCCCCTCTGATTGAGAGGGGGAGAAGGACAGGTGGAGTGACGTCGGATATCGACTACGACGACTACAATCGCGATGGTGGTGGCAACTACGACGATGACGATAAGGCCGATAACGACGGTGATGACGATGATCGCTCAGAGTATGGGAAGAGGGAGGCGGAAGAGATGGGAAGGGACGAGGAGGATGCCGATGGTTAATTGGAAGATGCAGTGATGGCGGTGCTAAGTTTAATGTCGACTATGGTGACGGTGATGATGCTGCTGGTGATGATGCTGTTGATGATGTTGATGATGGTTTTGGCGATTGTGATGGTGATGCTGGTGATGCGGATGAGCATGATGATGGTGATGAAAATGGTGGTGGTGGTTGTGATGCTGGTGGTGATGATGATGGTGGTGATGGTGATGATGGTGGTGGTGGTGATGTTGTGCATGCTTAAGCTGATGTTGATGCTGAGGATGGCGATGCTGATGCTGATGCTGATGCTGATGCTGATGCTGCCGATGATTGTAGGAGTGGTGGTGGTGATGGTGATGGTGGTGATGGTGACGACGATTATGATTGTTTGTGATGATGCTGGTGATGATGGTGATGATGGTGATGATGGTGATGGTGACGATGCTGATGGTGATGAGGATGAGGGTGAATGATGCTGCTGATGATGGCGATGACGATCTTGATGCTGACGTTGATGTGCATGCTGGTGATGATGATGATGATGATGATGATGAGGAGGAGGAGGAGGAGGATGGTGATGGTGATGATGATGGTGTGATGGTGATGTAATGACAGCCGCATCAATTGGACATGCGCCAGTGGCCAGAGCCATGTGGGCCGCGGATGTTCTTAGGACCGCGCAAAGAGAACTCCGACCAGACCCCAATGCCGACAATGAAGGCGCAGCCCCCAGGAGAGAGCATCACCCTCCACCCACGGCGCCGCGAGCGGGGGGGAGGTCTGTGGAGGCCGCCAGGCCTCCAGATTTCGCTGTCTGCATGCGGAGACCTTTGGATACCCCAAAGTACCCAGAAGCGTCCAAGCATTCCCCTTGTCCTCCTTCCTCCACCCGTCCGTCCACAATCCAAGGCAGAGTGGTGATACTGTGTGCATACCTTGGACGAAGAGGGCAAATCTAGAGCCAGTGGCAAAAAGACATGATTGCTATACCCTAAACGGCAACCAGAGGGGCGAGGGAGAAAAAATGGTCGGAGTCGGGGCGCAGCTCGACAGGACGTGCCTCGCCGTCTGTCGTGGGCGCCGCCGGGACGACGCGTGGAACGTCAGCCGGTGCCCGCTTCCTGGCCGCGTGTTACAGCACCACAAGTCCCGATGTGTTTTTTTTTCTTTTCGATATGGGGTTACCGACGCTTTCCCCAGGCGGTTTTGCTTGCTGAGTCGCTTTATGATGGTCCCAGACCTTTGCGAGGGCCCCAAAAGCCGGAAACGGTGAAAAAAACAAGTGGTGAATTGTTCAACGCCTTGGGCAAGTGGCATTCAAGGATTTCCAGTCCAAGGAATCATAGTTGCATCGCAGCGGCGGTTGTAAACGTCGCAAATGTAATTCCAGATGCGCCAACATACATTACAGTTCGGGTTAGCATTTGGTGTACATGTATAGGTTGTTCCCTTCGAAGGTATTTTTATATAACAAAAAGTGGGAGGTTTGCACGCGCGTTCACGAATATGCGAGATCATCAACGTAGCACTTGGCAGCTCGGTCGTTGGGCACTTAATTCAAGTATAATTCTATTACGCTCAGCCGGTGAATCGTCAGCTTCATCCGCAATATGTAATGGGTTACGTGATGATAAGACCCAGCGCAGGAAACCAGCAACTTGTTATACATATTTAGCGGCACTCACGCACGCAGCGCCCGAGATACCTAGAAACGCGCCGACCAGATACCTTCAGATACCTCCAGCGACCGATACCCAAGATACAACCACATACCCACATAGACCAACAGGTTACCTTTTTTTTTTTCATTTACGTTTCAGATTGCGTTCAGGCACCCGCAACGGCAAGCTTGGCATTGGAGATTGCGCGCGCGCATTCCTTGTCGTTGCCACCGTTGAAGCCCAAGTCTCCTTGCTTGCAATGACTGACCGCCCAGAAAAGGGAGCTGACACTTCGGCTGGCGTCCGCAGCGCTGGCCGACGCGCCCCGCGTCGGGCCGCGGCTAGGACCGCCGCTAGCCTAGGGGGGCGGGGGCGAAGCACAATGGCCGACCAATTGTTCGACCGCGGCGTCAATGCACGCCCATGACATGTCCGACAATGGGCCGCAGACATGGCCATTGCCGGGCTCCTATCTCAGCGCCTTCGGCTTCTTATCCGCCGCATTTCGGTCGGGCGGCCTTGGGTTCGCATCGTTCCGCAGGAAACCATGCAGTGAATTTAGTAGGCTTCTTGGGGCCCCAATGGCGGCGGACTTCTGGGCGACTGGTTGGTTTTGTTTCTTGGGGGTTTCAATTGACTTCCCAGTGCACCTCCTCAGCTGGCGCCCAGCGGGCTTCTCAACGAGAGCAATAGGAAAACAACCATCAACTGCATTCTCGCTGGGCATCTTCAGTGTCTCCTAGTCGGTTTCTCAGTTGGCATCTCAATGCGCGTCTCAGCGGGCATCTCAGGCGCCCCAATGGCCATCGCATTGGGCGGCGGAAATTACAGGCATCCAAACGGGGCGGTTCGGTTCTGCTGTCCTGGCCCAGAAACGTCCACGGTGGGAAGTGCACCCTTTCTGATTACGGATGATCTTGGAACGCATGCTGCGACAGGACATGTCCTGCGCGCGACCTTGCCGACTGCAGTTGGGGCGAGCGGAGACGACGAGGCCGGCGCCGTGTCGAAGGAGCCGACGGCGATGGCCGACGGCAACGAGGCAGGAGGCAGCGCACACGGCAAGACGCTCGACGTGCAGGCCGCTCTTGGCTGCAGCGAGGCAGGCGGCAGCGCAGACGACAAGACGCCCGACGCGCAGGCCGCTCTCGGCTGCGCAGGCGGCACGGATAATGTTCCGACCAGCGGCGATCAGCAGAGCACCGACACCGACGTTGCCAAGGAGATGCAGGACAGCGGCGGCAGCGCCGACGAGCGGTTGCAGCGTTCCAAGCCGATTCCCAGTGACTTGAAGATGGCGATCGAAAGCGTGATCATGGCCATTGACCAGCTGGCGAGCAACAGTCCCACCTGCGAGGAAGTCACGGAGTCAGCGCCCCGCACGCGCAACGTGATGATGACCAGCATGGGCGCTGCAGGTGCTGACGCGGGCCCTGGAGACGCAGACGTGGCCATCCCAGAAGCTGGCGTGACCACTGGAGGCAATGACGTGCTCCCTGGAGGCGGGGGTGTGCTCCCTGCAGAGGTCCCTGAGGCTGATAGTGCCTCTGAGGCTGATAGGCCCCCTGCAAAGGCCCCTGAGGCTGATGGGCCCCCCTGAGGCTGATAAGGCCACTGGGGGCGGTAGTGTGCTCCCTGGAGGCGGCGGCGTGGTCCCTCCAGAGGGTGATCGGGTCTCTGAAGCGGATGTGCTCGCAGCAAAGGCTGCAGGCCCGCCTGCTAAGAAAGCAAAGCAACTCGCGCCGAGGCCGCCGATTGGGCCGCCCCCGAAGTTTTTGTCGCCGCCCGCCCGCCCGCCAGTTGTGATCCAAGCTTGCGCAAAGGCGCCGTGCCCGAGTGCGCCCGCGAAGCCGACGCCGACGCTGCCGCCGCCTGGCCAGCTTGACGGTGATGAGTTTTTGATGGGCCAGACGCCGGAGTTTAAGTCGTGCGGGCCCCTTTTGCCAGGTGGGTCAAATGATAGCTCGTCGGTTTCAGTTGCCAAGAGCTCGAACCTGGAGTTACGCAATTAATGCAACTCTGGCGAGTGGCCCAACCGTGTGCAATTGTCAATGCAATCGTGTGTGTCTGGGGTGTGTGGAAGGGCGGTGGCGGGCCCTTTGGTAACCCAATTGTGTGGGAAATGCTTTAAGCGATTCCGAAGCGCGGCAATGCCCTCCTCGTAATTTCACAGGGGGTTCGGCGTCGGATCAAGCTTCAAGATCCGCGATGCGGAAGGGCGTCTGGGTCCAGAGGCTTTCCGGGGACTCAAGGTAAAAGGATGGTTTTGGGGGAACCGTGCTCCTATTCATAAAGGCTTTCGGGCCGTTGCCGTCTTTGCTCCTTTAGTTGGGGGCGCGTGTGCCACCGTCGTCCGCTGTCAGACGCTCCCTCTCTCCTTCCCACCCTCCTTGCCTGCCTGCCTGCCTCCCCCCCGCGCTCCCTTCCGTTCCCCCTCTCTCCCTGTCTCCCTCCCTCACCCCCTCCCTCCCTCAATGTCGCCCTCCTTATCTCCCTCCGTCATCCTCCGTCTCCTCCTCCCCCTCCTCCTCCTCCTCCTCCTCCTCCTCCTCCTCCTCCTCCCCCTCCTCCTCCACATAACCCTGGCAAGCAAACAGTAAGCCCCCCGGCGATATCGCTAGCACAGAAAATAAAATAAATAATTATTTTGGGCGGCGCCCTCCGGCGATCTCGCTAGCACATAAAAATATAATAATTAATTAATTCATTCGCCCCCCCCCCCCCCCCCCGGGCCCGAAGCCGGCGGCAACGCGAGGCGACGGCCTGAAGAACCAACGCGCACGAACGTTTGCCAATGGGTTCCCGCCTTGCTAGAACACTGGGAAACTGACGCGCATCGGAAATCAAAGGTAAATAAAAATGACAAACAATGAAATCACCGCAAGCAACTATACTTGAAAGGACCACCCAAAGGAATCCCAGAGAAATCTCAGAAGGAAGCCCACGCAGAATCTCAAAGGACCCCTATTGGAAATTCAAAATAATCTCAAAGAGGAACCCCGCAGAAATCGCTAGGGGATCTCAGCGGCAGCTCAAACGAACCACGAAGGAATCTAAGGAATCTGGAAAACGCGGGCTCGCGTGGACATAAGCAAACCCTATTGCGGCCGCAAAAAAGGAAATTGTTTTTTTTTCACGGGGTCCTATCGGAGA